TAATTGATAATAAATCATATTGATGATAATAAATCATCAAAAAAAATTATTTTACATTATTTGTCTTGCAAGAGTTGGCAACGGTGCTCTGACTGCATCAGTTCCTCTCTTCACTGTTGTGTGAGGGATGTTCATCCAGGTAGAAGAGATTCTTCCACTCTCACTGCAAAGTGTTTTGAGTGTGACAAAAGCGCTAGATAAACGCATCATTGCTCAATTTGGCTGATGCTTACTCACTTCAAGCAGCATAAATACACTTTCAAAGAGACAAAATTGTTTCCAATCAGATGAAACAACCACAGTAAAAAGCAGGTGAAGTGATGCTCCGCTTCTCACTGCATCCTAATATTAGAAAGTTCAGGAGCGTTCAGCAAGCCTACAGTGTGAGTTTGCACTAAGAGTGAATCATCCTCACCCTGAATTGACAATATGTGATGACTAACTTGCCTGAGATAGTGATTCATGAAACAGACATGCCTTTCTCTCTCTCCTCCCGCCTCGTATTCCTTTTCTTTATCGTTTTTATTCAAACCATTTCCGCCCTTTTTCTGTGACATTCGGGCAACCTGGCAGACAGAAAGGGAGCATTGTACATGTAATTATAGACTCTGAATAAGGGTAATGTGTTATTTTTTATTACTAGAAGGAGTTTTTCTATTTCCTCCAAAGCGCAGTGGGATGTTGAGCTAAATTAGTGCAATTGCTTATCTGCTGGTTAGATGTTAAGGTTTCTGACCTCCAGCTAATGTTTAATTTAGACATTTTTTCTCAAATAAATTAAACTGTAAGCTCTGAATGAGCAGTTCTTGTGCTTTTCCTGCTTTGAAAGACATATAAATGTAGATTAGAGATTACTATCCTGGTGTTTTTACTTACCTGTGGCCCTGCCACCAATCCAACCGAGCTCACCAAAGTCAAATCTGGCTGTGGGATACAACATGACGGCTGTAATTGGCCAGAGTGGAATCCATTTCCAGTAGCAACTGTGGGCGAGTTCTGAAGCACGATGTGAGCTGACCCCGCTTCAGCCCCGTCTCTCGCCACGGCCGCTGTGATTGATGACACTAAATTGCCACTGTAATGTTTGTCACTGCAGCTGTGTCTTTTTAGTCTCCCCAGTGATCTGAAAATAGAGCTGTGGATTGCCAAGACAGACTGTCACTGAAAACAATGAACCTCTGATTCCTCATCGATCGAGAAGATTCTTGTTCTCAGAATTTTTAAAGAAGGTGATTCTCTGAATTACAACCGTTCAGCATCAGCGAAGACTCAACAGGTAACACTTTATTCTCATTCCCTGTAGTGGCATATGGAAGCGCTTTGTACCTGCTATCAGTGTTAACATCCCGTCCAATTCAATAATATTAATCTTTAGCACAATGGCATACGTCCAGATGCATACAAAACAGTTCAGATGCTGTGAGTGGGGATCTACTTGAAAAATGAAGCAAAGATGGAGAGAGAAAGAAAATAAGCTTCTCATTTGACCGTCAAAATGTGCTTAAAGAGTTCAAAGGAGGTCCAAGGATCTCAAGTGAAGAGCGACAGCGTTGTTATGAGGGAAATGTGCTCCAGTTCAAATGCATTATTAAACACTGGCCTTTGCTTTGGCTCGCTATTTCTGGTTTCCAATAAAGATCAATGTTTCTCTTTTTATTGCATTTTTTCTCTCAACTTTCCTTATTGCATAAAACACTAGCTCTCTGCAATGTCCAGGAAAATATAAATGTCATCATAAGCCTTAAATATATAAATGAATAAACAAAATCATACACTGGAAAATGTTGACCTATTCACTTTTGACATTAGAAGAGATGATTTTCAGGAGGGACTATTTATGGATGATTTGCTGAGGGATAACTCAGTTGAGAGTGCATGTAATGGGATGAATCTGGAAATATAATGGAATTTTTGCATATGAAATTGTATTTTGTATCTTTTATGTTGGAGAGAAATGTAAAGTTAGAAGAAAGAAAATGTAAAGTTGTAAGCCATACATCTGAGTAAAACAGATTCAAATTGTAGGGGCGGGACTTCGTTCTATCCATCGGTTGTTGATTGGATGGCGGCAGATCTGAATGCGAGCTTGCAGTCGATTGTGGGAGGGGTTTAAGTGGAATTAATAATTGTCACCAGAGAGCGGTCTGCCATTTCACTGGACAGTCGAGGTGACAGCTTGCTTAAAAAAATTAATTTAGACAAAAGATAGGTTGAATTTTCATTTCATGCGAACTTTAAAGTTACAATAATAAAAAAGCTCAGTTAGTACATCAATTATTCATTGTTCTGATCTGGCTGTGTTCTTTTGCAGTTGAAGAAAACTGC